CTCCACAAAACACATGTTGGCTTTGGGGGCAGCTGCAAAATCACTTCTTTAAATGCCATTTTTGGGTAGATTCAACCCATACATTTTGATTCAGCTGGGAAAAAAAAAAAAAGAAAAAAATAAGGTTTTTCTGCATTTCCAGACTCATTAGTCAGATTTTTTTGCTATTTTAACCTAGAACTCACAATAACATCTGGCATCCAAGGAGTGCTTTCATATTTTAAAGCTCTCTGCAAAGTGTCTGAGTCCAGGTGTGTTTGCTCAGACTAAGCAGCAACCAAAATCCAAAATCCAGGGGCCTGATCCTGCATTGGCAAACCTTTTGCTTCCCCTCCTACACCTCTTGAGGGGGAAAGAGCACATCAAGAGCGATGGAGAAGGTGGAAATTTGGAAAGCTGATGGCTCTGAAGTGCAGACAGAGGGAACAGAGGGATGGAGAAGCCCTGTGGAGGTGGCACAGCCTGTGGTGGCTGAGCCAGCTCGCCTTGCATGCACTTGGCATGGCATCACCATTGGTCCAGATTCTCCTGGGATCTGTAGAAGCTATCCCTGGGTTTTATCCCCTCTGGAATCCATAAAGTTCTGTGCTCTCACATCTGTGCCTGTGGTACGTGTGTGTGGGTGTGGGAGCAGGCCGAGCTTTCAGCCCTGGGTGCTGGGATTAGCTGGGCTCTGCAAAGCAGGGAGGGTCCCAAACCCCCTCTGATGCTCACCCCAGGCTGCTCTCAGCCCCTGTGTGCTGTGGAGGGCTGAGCCACCCCCGGGTGTTGGCATTTCCCAGCCCTGTGTCACAGTATTGGCAATAAACTATTGGAAGAAGAAAAGGGGGACCCTGGGGAGACACAACCACAGGCTGAGGGCTCCTGCACTGCACAGCAGGCTCTGAAGGCTGCCCTGGGAGCTCTGTGCTGAGGGAGGGGTCCAAAAGGACTCATTACTGAATAACAGATGGGGAAACTGAGGCACAGCAACGCCCCCAGGGTCATGGGGAGGCTACGGAGGAGCTTCACGCAGGGCTCCCAGCCAGCCCACTTGGGAACCACTCAGAAGGAGGCACAGCCCCAGGTGAGTGGCTCCTGCTCCTGCTCCTGCTCCTGCTCCT